GGGCTCGCGGCTGTGCGAGCGCCGGTGGACCCTGCTCCGCCGTTCGAAGACCCAGATGTTTTCAAATACTTAAATCTCTAGCGAACAGGTCTTGGCAGTTTTGTCTTTTTCTAAAATGGTGACATCAGCTTGAGCACGGAACAAGCATGTGCAATGGTAGGTAGTACAAGGAGGATAGGAAGGGTTTTCGTACTACAGAAAGGGAGCATAATAAGCTGGGTGTGAGGCCTGCTGACTGATTTTATTCCCTGGGTGTGACAGATGCCTTATTCCACTGGGGGGTGGGGAGGAGATCTTCAGATGCTTGAAGATCAAGTATTAGTTACTTTGTTAAAAGGACTTCCCTCTTTTTTCCTCTCCTTGCGTTGTTTGGTTGGTTTTTAGGTTTGTTTAGTATTATTTGTTTAGTTTTGGGTTTTTTTTGGACTATTATGCTGAGGTACTTTGGTATATTGTTGAATGTAGATCCAGCGTAAATTCCCACTAGTGAAATCTAGAGGAAAATAAATACTTCCTGTTATTGTAGGGTGCTGCATTTTGGAGCTAGCTTAAATCAATTTCTTTAAGATTGCTTTCTTCTATTCCTCCTTGGAACATGATTTTTCCTTTTTCTATTCCCTACTTTTTCATTCCTCCCATTCTCTAGCAGGAAATAGGAAAGAAAAGAAGGACAGCTGCTCTTTTTGTTCAGTAGAAATAAAAAACAACAGAGCGCTGGTTAGTGACTATTTGGCCTTTCTGGTTGAAAAGAACAAGTTGTTCTAGTTGAAAACTGTTACTTTAATTTCTTATTCATCAGTGCATGCTATTTTGATTTTTTTTTTAGTTGTTCTATTGAACTCAAGTTAGCATTGGTTTGAATTCCTAAATTTTAACTGAAAACATTAAAAATAAATAATATAGAAATAATACTACTAAGGTATTCTCAGAGATACACATCCATGCACAAATGGTTGTTTTGAAACTTTTTTCAATATCTGTCTTTTGGAATCCTTTAAATAAGCACTGTTTTTTTTTTTTTTTAGTTTAACAATTTTGAATGTTGGTGTAAGGCTGAGGAACTTGAGTAAGAATTCAGAAGGCTTTTTCAATACCATTAACAGGCCACACAACCAATAACACTAAGATGTGTATTCAAGAGTAACAAAGTTAGGTGACCTCAAGCTGTATGAAATGTAGTCACAGGCTATGTTTTTTCCTGTGCTGCACTGAGCTTGGAGGGGGCTTCCAATATGCTTTTGGGTGTTTTGAATTTAAAATCTCGTTGCAGGTTTTTGAAACTGTATTTGAAGTTCTTTGAGCAATGAATGAAAAAAACTTACTGCAGTTACTTTCCGGAGTAATTATTTAAGGCTTATTAAAGTTAGTGTAGGAGCTTCAGTGTATTAGAACTTTATTTCTTATGTAACAGCTCTCAAGATAATAATGTTGGAAACAAGATTTCCAGTCTTATTGTTCCTGGGGTGTTAATATGCAAAAATCAACAGGTAAAAGTACCTTTTAATTAGTTTTTTAGTGCTCCTTAAAATCATGTCAGCCTGTCATAAAGTAACATGATCTGAAAATGATACTTCCATTGTGTGGTATTTCCACACAAAACTAGGTACCTGGGTTTTTTTGACTTAAGTTTTCTAGGGAATATTTTTGGCAAGACTATAGATAAGATTAGGTTTTCGGACTGTTAGGCTAGCAGCCCTGGCAGAACTTGATTCATAATTTGATTCACACCTCAATTCATCCCAAGTAAACGTAACTGAAATCTGCCCCTTGGTCATTGTCAGAGGCTCATTGTGGCTGCTCTTGCCCATAGACCCCACACAAATTCCTTGTGTAAGAGAATTAGGAGACTAAGTTTAAAAAAATAAACTCATCTTAATAAACTAATTATTTACTCAAATAGTGTTTGTCTTTATTGTGAACTTAATCAAATTGTTTTTTGTCCATTCATGACTAAACTTGAGTAAATCACCTAATGGATATAAAGATGAAAACATGAGTGCTGCTGAGACACTGTTTGCAATATTGCAGGAAAAACTGCGTTAACATATTCCTTAGAATCTTGAACTTCACACCTTCTTCCTGCACCCCCTCCCCCCGCCTTTTTTGAGTCGATATGTAGCACCTGATGAACAGTCAGGGCATAAATTACTTTTTAAAAAAAAAAAAAACAAACAAACCACAAACACTGCAATGCTGCTTTGTATCCAAAGGATGAGGAAGCCATCTGAAATTAAGAGGCAGATGGATTCTGTAAGATCTGTCCATTGTAATTAAAATGGAAGGAATTCGTGGTAAGTTTACTGAATCACTTCTACATCATAACGTAGTGCTAATATATTTTTCTAGGAAAATTAGCCTTTTGGTAGTGAAGTTGGAATAACCGTTCTTAGATTTCTCATATGCTTTTTCAAGCTGAGAATCATTAGTGAAACTAGTTGTCCTCTACTTTTAATGTGTACCTATTTTAAATGTCTTCAAAGCATGAACTATATAGTTCTTGGGGAGTAACAGTCAATTAACTTTTTCATCTGAGTCTAATAAAGAGTAATGTCTTCAATGAAGTCTTGCATTTGATTTTTAGTGGCGGGGGCAGCAACCACAAGAGCATCTATCATGGCAAATGCATACTGAAAGCTACATAAAAAAAGCTGTTAAGAATTGAGGAAAGAAAGGGATAGGAGGAATGTCTGATTTAAAGGCTATCACTGCTAGCTTAAGAAATCTGACTATTTTACACTTGGGTGTCACGTGAAGTATTCGAGTCTGTCTTCTGTAAGAAGTTAATGCTATGTTAATGCATGTGTAGATTACATAACATCCAAAGAAATTTTTGTCCATCTCTATGGGCCATGCCCAAAACATAGGATGATGGGAGGGAGTGGCTGAGTTTGTTAGTACTTGTCTTTGACAGTTATTCACTTGGAACACCATTTAGGGCTGGCTTTCTTTGCCTGATTCTGGAATAACTTAAAAGGTATATTGCATCTGGGAGAGATCAGCAGTAGAACCATCAGGGAAACTTTGTCCAGATACTGTCTAGTCCGTAGGGACTAGACAAGCTCACTTATCAGGAGATGATGTTGCTGTTACTCCAGTCCTCCTGTTTCTTCAAAATTGAGAATAAAAAGGGAAGGAAGAAAGGCTGGCATCTGCTAGAAAGAAATAACCCACGTGAGGACAAAATCAGTGGGATATCAGCCTATCATCTTAATATACTTGTGCAGCTCTCTTTAGATTTGCAGTCTGCTTTCTGTTGCAATTGTAAATCCGAGTTTAAGCTTGTACTAAGGCAGAGTTGAAAAGATCTACATTGTATCCTTAGAGGTTTTCTTTATGAAACTCTGTAAATCATAGGAGTTATGTTGGCCTTAATAGGATGATACTGCACTGTTCTAAAGGATACAACTAGCTGTACTCATCACAAGGGAATAGTCGAAAATTCAAGATGTTATTTGACCTGGTGTAACATCTAATACAAGTTTAAAAATTCTCCATGTATATCTCAAAATAGCGGAGGGTAGTAGTGTCTAATCAGCTATCCCTAGGGAATATGTAATAGCAGACGTGAACTGAAAGAAGTAAAGAACCCTGTAAAGTGACTTTCATTCTCTAATGTATGCTTCTTTTAATTGCTAGTCAAGTAGCACTTTATCGTGTATTACTAAACCTTTGGAAGCAGTTCTCCTGAGATGTGGACCGAGTTTATTATGGCAGTATTGCATTTAGACTTAACAGATTCTTCTGCTTATGATCTGATCTGTTTCTGGGCTACCTGGCTTGTGTTTCTGTATTTAACCACTTGTATGTGTGTAATCACTTTCACTGTGTGTGGGTATATATACACACTGTGTGTGTGTGTGTGTATATGTATATGTGTGTGTGTGTGTTTTAATTAATTTACACAGTCTGCCCTGGAACCTGGGTAAACTTCTAGATTCACGGCATCATGTGGCAAACAGCTTAACTACATTTTGTGTGAGGACCTACCTCCTTTTCTTAGTATTGAACTTGCCCTCTTTCTGTTGGTTTCACTTGCCTCCTAATATATTAGGCAAGACTGTAAACAATCTCGGTGTAACTTCTCCAAGCCATTCATTTTGTAGGCATTTATCTTATTTCCTTTTTTCCACTATAAGTAGCCTGCTTTACAGACTGAAAAGTTCTAGTTTATTCAGTTGCCCCTTATATGGGAGGTATTCCGTACCTTTGAGATTTTTTTTTTTCCCCTCCCTCTTTCTTTCTCAGAGTTGGGGTTTCTGTTGTTCTCTGTTGGTTTTTTAACTTCAGTCAGAGGTTTGTGAGATTTTTGGGTGGGGGGAAGAGGACTAAAACTGCTATTCAAAATAAAGGCACAAATTAAATTTATACACTGTCACAACAGTGTTCTGTTTGTTTTTCTGATTAGTCAGATCGCTTAGATTGCAGTGTTCCGTATGGATCAATAAGGTAATCTGTCACTTACCCAGATCTTGTTCTGAGTGGTAATTACAGCCCAGAGTCTGTGCTTCTACATGTGAAGTTAGAATTTCCTCACACACACATAGACACGTGCGTGGATGGCTCTACATTCCTCTGTAATTGTTCCTTCTGCTTCTTGCTTATCACAGTTTTGTAGGGTCCTTCTGTAGTTCTTTGTTCAGCCTTCATCTTTATTGTCTTATAACTTGGTATTGTCAACAATTTTTGTCATTTAACTACTCCTCCCCTTTGCGAGGTAATTCATGAATATATCAAGCAGCATGAATTCCAACACAGATTTTCTGCTGGATTCCTGTGATGGCCTCTCTCAGCTGTGAGAACTACTTAGACCATCTATTCCTGTTTCCTAGCTATTTTTTCATGTAAAAACTTTCCCTCTTATTCCTTGGTTGCTTAGTTTCTTCGAGAAATTTAAGTGGGGTACTTCTGGAAGCTTTTTGGAATTTCAGGTAGACTCTATCATTTAGCTTTCCTTTTCCCATATTATGCTGCTTCATACTGCCATATAATTCATTAACTTTGCAAGGCAGGATTTGCTTTTGCAACAGCCATGTTAACAATTTCCTAATATATTATTTGTGTCCACTAATTCTATTGTTGATTACTATGTTTATTAATTTGCACATTAGAGATGTCACACTGGATCTTCCCTGGGGCCATCTTTAAACATTGACACTGCCTTTTCCACATTTGATTTCCTTAGATGCTTTGGCAGCTCTAAGGGAGAGGTTATGCATCTCGGTGAACAACACAGCTATTTCATCACTGAAACTTTTGGATGAATACCATCTGATTCTGAGGGCCTGCTACTGACCACTTTACTTATATGTTCCACTGCTGCTTCTACAGTGCCTTTGAGATGCATCTTCAGGCACCTTCATAAAGCAGGCTCTACTATGGAAACCTTTCTAAACTCTAGAACAGTAAACACACATGTAAAGAATTTACTTTACTTGTCTTATTATGACAAGTATCTACATCAGGTGTTCTGTTCTATGTCTGATCATCTGTTGGCCCTTTGAGTTTCTGTTCCTACTTTAAAGAAAGAATTGTTAGTTTTATGTCTTTTTGCACTTGTATCTCAACTGGGTGTCTGGGGGACAGTATTACCAAGATTTTGTATCTCATTTGTCAAAGTGTATTTTCTTCTATATTTTCCTTTTGGATACACATTTGGCTTTTTGTAGGGAAATTTCTTCCATCCAGGATAATCTTTCTTCTGGTGTTCAGCCATTTTCAGTCCTTATCTTGGACTCTTTCAAGTAGAATATTAAACATTAATACAAGACTAAGTTTACTTGGTAAGACATTCCTTTCTAGCTTTGTGATATTTTTCCCTTCTATTTTATTAGATAAAAAAGCATTTCAGTTTAATAGCACCGCCCTCTACACTGAGGATCAAGTTCTCGCACATGGCTTAGTATGGAGAAAGATTGATATTGAGAGTAGTTTGAGATAGGTATGAACGTAAACATTTATTAAACAAGTAAGTAAACAAAGTCACTGTTCTGCATGAAGTATTGCAAGTTGTAAGATTGCCACAGGAGTAATGGTAAAAATGAATATTCAGGAGTAGGGGTTATGGAATTTTTAGCATCTGACAGGTTGACTCTATAAAGTTTAGCTGTGGTGATCGCAGTGATAACTGCTCTCCTTTGTCCTCCCTATTTTTCTGCTGGAGTTACTGCCTTCTTGTTACGAGCGTCCTCAACCAGAGGATGCAAAGATCAAAAGATATAGAAAATCTTCCTAACTTTCTGCATTTTTGAGGAACCTGAGCCGAAGGCCGAATTTGTTTCAGGCTTTAGGTTGTATTTCCGCCTCAAAAAAATGGTCAGTTTGTGTTATGCTTCTTGTTCAAATTTTAATATGTGGCCCCTTTGGAGTCCAAGTGGTGGTGTCAGCCAGTCTGAGAAAGGGAGGAGAAGTCATTTGTTGTTGGTTTGGGGTTAGCTTATTTGCGGGTGGGGGGGGGAAACTGTTGTTGTTTCATTTACACTTGAAAGAAAATTACTTTTTTACTATCCATTTATAAAACTGGTGGCTGGAAGCCTTGGAAGTGTGGAGAGCTTGCAGAGTGGCAACTATTCTGTCACCATCCTGTAACATGCAGGAAAGAGGCCACGCAATAGGTGCCAACAGCGTACCCTCTCTTGTAGAGTCAAGTTAATGAACTAACCTTAAGCTAGCCTTCTAACCAGAAGAGTATGGACAACTAACTGTTGTTGTCTTGCCTTAAGTAAGGCTGCCACTTTAAATGCTTGCTGCAGTCCTTAGCCTGAGGGCTCCATCTTTCCTTTTTAGAAAGGGTAAGGATTTCTGTCAATCTTCCTTTTTTGAGAGAGATAAAAATAAGATTCCTTGGTACTGATCCTATTCTTAAAAAAAAAAAAAAAAAAAGAAAGCTGAAGCTCTTGTAGAATATATTCTCTAGCTTCCACAGTATCCTCCAGCAGGGAGTTTAATATGCATTATGTGAAGAAGTACCTTTCTACTTTGTTCTGAACCTGCCATCTGTTTGTTTTATTTGATGACCTTCAGTTGCTGTGTTGAAAGAGCTGCTTCCCATCTGTTTTTTTCCATGCTGATCTAATTAACAATTTAAATATTGAAATTTGTAATATGAGGCAAATCTATCTGCTAAATGGAGGAAAATGGATAGAACTTATCAGTATTGGGTCTGAAAAAGATCTCTGCCTCTTGGGGTGATTTTATTTCGGAACACTAGATGTGAATCTTCAAATGCTCATCAGTGTGTTACTAATGATAAGGCCTCCAGTTTACACTTGCTAGATGGTTGTGTCTTGGATTATTTATATGACAGAACATCTTGTGAATAGTTCTACTATTTTAACTGATTTTTTTCCAATTTCATTTGAATAAAGTTGACTGGATGATTTAGAAAATGTAACTAAATACTGTCTTTCCCTTGAACATAGGGATTTGAGAGATTATGGCATCTGAAGCCCACAATGTTAGAAAACAGAAAGTATTGCATATCGAGGGTCATTCCATTGATCTCCCCAGAAAACGAATCTCTTCTTTCACTAAAAAGATCATGAAGGAGGTAAGGCTTTTCATTTCCTCTGATTAAACTGAAGCAAACACTTTAGCAGAAGTCAATAGCTTTGAGCAGTCCAAAACAAGAAATATAGCATTCAGTGCAAGGAAGGATGTTTTTCCTGTTTAGTTATGCATTAAAATTTTAACTTATCCAGAGCTTACGTGATGGAAAAATATGCATTATATCAGTGTAATCACTGTATGTGCCTAATACATATATTCTATCTTCCACATGAGCAGTAGGCACTGATGTGGTTTTACTCATGCCTGCTTTTCTGCCATCTAGCTGAGAACTGGTTCAGAGCAGGACTTCTCAAAAATCATCAGAAAGGTTTCTCTTGCCAAGAGAGCTATGTAGCACAGTGAGTGAGAGGTAGGGTAGGCAAAATACATGCATTGAAATGAACCTGTCATTCCATTGCCACACAGCTTGATCTACCACATTACCTGGGTACTTTGTAGATAGGCACTTTCACTGAGATATTGCCAGTCAAAAACACTTTCTCTCAACCTCTTATCTGTGTTGCTGGCTGAATGACTCCACTAATGTGGGCAGATGGATTATGGAGGAAGTACTGGGGAGGTAAACTTAATGTAAGATCACTTCAAATAGTGGTGAAGAGACCAATGTCCTCTATGTCTGTGGGGTTATTGAAACCACATATTAAAAAACAATGCTTTTATGAGTCAGTGCTATAGAAAGATTCTGGCATCGTTTTATTGTCAAGAGCAGCTTAAATGTTATCAGCAGTATAAATTTCCAGGTTGAAATGCTTGCAGTTTATGAGCGTAGTACCTATTTATATGAAAACATGCATCTTTTTTACTTCAATTCAATGCTTTTAAAAAAAAATGTTTGCTTACTAGTTCAAAAAAGACCAGAATTTCAGTTTCTCATCTTCATTGCATGAAGCTGTAAAACATTTAAGAGTATTATAAAAGAAAACTACTTTTTAGAAATTAATACTTGAATTTTTGCTTAATTTTCAAAGGTTTTGCTAAACTGTGCAGCATAGTTCTGAATGATGTATGTGATTTCTCTTGATTATTACTGTTCTGTGCAACATAATTGGTATCAGGATAGTAATGTCTTTCATATGAATGCAGGATAATTAAGTTGGTGTTGTATACATCAAGCTTTTTTATGTTGCATTGTTTGGGGGAGTGGCGGGGAAAGGGTTTTTGCTGTTGTCATCTTTCCCAGTAGTAGTATCTGCTGTATTATTAGCTATTAAATGTATGTATGAGACAAGTAATCAAATTCCAGTAGGTTTTTCATTAGTCACAATTTTCAATTACTGTAAGTAATGAATCTGTTTCTGATGTCACAATCCTACCTCTTGCCAGCAATACCTCAAGCCTGTAGATGATGATGATGCTCCAAGGACAGCTGTGGCAGAGCTAGTTCCACCTATCTGTACCTGTGAAACACCTGTATGTTATGAGAAATTTAACATAACTGTGCCTCTGTTACAGAATTGGAGGGGTGGGTGGGAGAGGATCTGTGGTAAGCATAGTCCATGATAAAGAATTTTTTCTTTCCTTTTAACACAAACTGTGGAATTGTTTGAGGCTTTTTAGTAATACTGCTCTTTTCTTCCATTTTCCCCTCTCCCAGGGTAAGAAATCTCCAAAACAGTTGGCTTTGTATACAAACAGGTAGGAGAGCTTTGCTGTTTAGAGTCTGGGATTCAGGGGAAAGGGAGGGAGAAAGAAGCAGTTTAAATCTGCTTACAGTATATAAACACAAATAGAGAATTATCACTATCTTCTATTTGGTTCTTTATTTTACTAATAATACTTTGATCCTGTGTCCACTTTTATAATAATGAGTCTCTGTATTAATGAAGCAAGAGAAGGGTATTGATGGTAGCTCTCATTTCTGATAACCCAAATATTATGAAGGTATTTCATGGGGGGGGAGGGGAAGACACCTTTTTTTAAAATAACCTCTAAGTTTAATACTGAACTCATAATCATAGATTTTAACTTAACACAAAGTGCATGTTCTTATGTTTAGTGGTCTTTACTAAAATACTACTTTATTATTGCAGAATAACAGTTGGAAAAACAGTGACCAGCCCCCCCTCTCTTTTCAAAGTAGTATATTGTAAAAGAAAAATACACTGTTATACTCCAAAGCCTTCTTATAGAAAGAAACAGTTCCCTAAAGTCAGGGGCTGTGACATGGCAAATAAAGAAAATGAACTGGCTTGCGCAGGGAATCTGCCAGCAAAGCTACATAACGACAGTCGTTCACACTTGCTAAATTCTAGTGACTCTGGCTCATCCCAAACAGAAGGCCCCTCATCCAAATATAGTGGATTTTTTTCAGAGGTAAGCAGAGTTTAAAAAAAACTTGTGTTTAACATAAAGTTATTTTTGGTAGATTGGGTTGCGCAGTTAGTTGCGGAAGCCTTTGAGGAGGTTTAGTTTTCTTAACATACAGGTTGGGTCAGGGCTGGTGATTTACAGTCTTTATTTGTCAGTTTGCTGTGGCTCATTTGCTTGCAGTAGCAGTCCTACTACTGTTCCTATTCTTGTGTCAGCACAGAAATTCAGATCCAGCAGCCTAGTCTGGGTTAAAATTAAACCAGCACCAAAGAGGAGGTTTGTTTCAATCTGATCAGATTTCATGATTTGCACAGCTACGTACATGCTTATGGAAGTGTGAAAGTGTTAGCATACGGATGGGAATAAGCTGGTAAGGTAGGACAGGACCTTTCTCAATAGCAATATTGGCTAATAGTGTGTGCGAAACTAATTTAAATGATTTTTGTAAGACTGTACTTCTAAGTAAGGTTATTTGATGAAGCTCAGTGAATGCTTGCTGTGCTTCTGAAACTGGCTAAAAGATCAGATATTTAAATGAGTCTTATGAGAATCAGGACTGTTTAAAGTTCCTTAATGCTAAGGTTTTTCTTCCTCTCAGCATAAATGCTTGTCACCTGACCAGTGAGGCCTGACACGGTTTAAGGCAAGGAGCGTGAGCTCTGAGACTATTACCATGCAATCTGTTCATGGTACAGTACCTCACGATGCTACGAGAGTTGCCCTGAAAAGATAACCCCAAGAGTCTAATGGGGTGGAGATACAAATCTATGGTGCCATTGCACTCCATTGAATTTGAATTTCCAGGCAGGAGTAAAGGAACAGCTAGAATGAGGAGGCTGCAGAAAGGAGAAGGGTAAAGAAATGAGATACAGAGAAGACTTTTTTCTTTTTTTTTCTTTTTTTTTTAACCTCCTGAGAAACTAGGGACCACTAGCACAGATCAGTATTTTAACTGGGTTTGAGATGTGGGTAGTAATGTTCATTTTAGTCCAAGATATATTTTAACAAAGTACCTGAACTTCAGTCTGAAGATAAGGTTTTCTGGAAATCAAGCTTTTCTGTCAAAGTTCAGAATAATATATGCAATGGCTTGTGTCTAAATTGTTAAAGCTCTCAAAATTACTAAGCATTTAAGTAAACACCTGTCAAAGTTGATGAGAATTATAAGTTGGCACTTGTGAATGCTCTGTTTAATCATTAGAGTTTGTTTAGACTGCCTCTATTTAGGTATCTACAGTCACCTATTCTTGCAACTTTGGGGTAAAGTAGTCTTAATCTATTTTTGCCCCCCTCTAAGGGAAATGTACGTTTTTAAGATCATTATTAATAAATTTCTAAACAACTCAGCATCTGTTCAGGAAAATATATCTTTATATACTAAGTTATATTACAGTGGCTTAACTGTGCCATTGCTGGCTGTTCAACTTGCAGTAAACTTTTCTTGTATTCTTAAAAACATTATGCAGGTTTCTCAGGACCATGAAACTATGGCTCAAGTCCTCTTCAGTAGGAATCTGAGGCTGAATGTAGCTTTAACCTTTTGGAGAAGGAGAAGTATAAGCGAACTGGTAGCCTACTTAGTGAGGTAAACTGAGCATCTCTTTTTATTTTCTTCTTCTGAAGTGGTGTAGCAATCCCAGATACGCTACAACATTGTAGGGATTCCTTAACTTTTGTAACTTAGTTATAATTACCTGTTCTTCAAATGATAGTGGAAGCATATAGATCAACCTGTGCTCTGTTGGTGACACTTACTTTATCCTTAATATTCCTAGGATACAGGATCTTGGAGTAGTAGTAGACTGCCTTCCTGTGCTAACAAACAGGTAAAAACAAAACTAAGTGGGGGCTGAGAATCTAATATTGAAGTTCAGGCACTTCTGAAACTTCTTCTTTTTTAAGTTTACAGGAAGAAAAACCATATATCTCAGTTGGCTGCTGTGTAGATCTTTTGCCTTTAGTGAAGTCACTGCTTAAAAGCAAATATGAAGAGTAAGTATCACTTTCAGATGTTTTCAAAATACTACTTCTCCCTGGATGTTTACTGCCCTTCAATATAAAGATGTTTAGTCCCCACCTTGATCTTTTTTTCCCTGACTCTGCCTTTTTAGGGAACACCTTCCTGAAGGAGCTTTCCCGTGAACTGTCATTTTTCCCTTCACAATTAGTCAGTGGTGCAAAATCTAAATTTCTTCTGGGAGCAGGGAACTAGCCTTGCCCTTATACAGATGCATTCATACTAAGTAGTAAAATAGGAAAAACATGACCAAGGTCTTGGCACACTTTGCAACATGAAATCCGGACAAATTTATTGGGCAAAATATCTGAAGAATTTCTATTTTTTTAAACAAAAGCATAAGTTTACCACTCTGAAAACATATACAAGAACCTAAACTTGAGAATTCTTCTAGATTTTTCTAAATCTTCCAGGTAAGAAAGTGTATTGCTTTCAGAATTGCTTTCCAGTGTGTTTTAACAATTTAGCTGACCTGTAGGTATTAATTAAACAAAAAAAAGGGAATCCCCCTTTACCTCTAGTTGGCAGATGTTTTATCAAAGGGAAGAGAAACATGTAATATGTAAAATATATTGTTACAGATATGTGATAGTTGGTTTAAACTGGCTCCAGGCTGTCATTAAAAGATGGTGGTCAGAACTATCTGCACATGCAGAAAAGACAGAGGATGGGTGAGTATAGTATTAGCATATATTAAAATGTTTCTGTAGTTTATTCCATTTCAAAGTCTGTATGACTGTGGATCAGTACTAACACATCTTATCTACAAAAAAAATTGATATTCATAACTTGAAAGTAAAAGTTTAACAGGACTTAAAGATTTCTAGTTATCAAGAAGTGGGTGGTGCTTGGAAACTTACTTTAAGGATTTTCATCAGGTTTTGTGTGTGTGGTTTTTTGGGGTTTTTTGTTTTTAATCTGGAGTTCTAATAAATGTAGAACAGAGGGTCACATTAGGGACATGTTAGGGATAATACAAATATTGTAGAAGTTGGGTCGAAGTTTCTCTCTGATTTTTGTGGCAAGACTAAGGCTGTATGCAGTACTACACATCCATTTTACCAGAAAGTCTTCTAAAACACAGTAAATCTGTTACAAAGTTTTTATATTCATTCTCTTTCAGAAATATTCCTATTTTAAAGCAACAATTAAGTGGATTATGGGAACAGGAGAATCATCTTATTCTGGTTCCAGGATATACTGGTAATATAGCTAAGGTAATCCAGTTCCAGTTGCGCTCAGTAATCAACATAGCTGTATCATTTGTAGTATTCCTCTAATTTGATGTTACTTATTCCAAACTATTTGAGGATTAGTGAAAAAAATATTCTAGAAGCTTTATCTATCCTTGTGTATATAATGTACCTTCTTACAGAAATCTGGAGTTAATTCCATATGTGAATAACAGTGTGGTTTAGAATGCTAACAGTGACCTTTTTGTTTTTGCTCTTTCCAGAGAGAATCTCCTAAATAAAATAGCTAGTATTAGTGAGGCTTAAAATGCTATATAAAAGGGCCCAGGTGAGTAGATAGACTGAAAGGACAGATGTCATTCTCAGAATCTCCTGTACCTGCCTATGTAAGTGTAATGCAGCATGGAGAATCTTGCCCCAGCGGTGTTGTTATCATTTCAGTGTCAGATGACTAGGACAAGTGACAGCATAGTAAATTCTAAAGCTTTTGCTAGCCTAATGCTCAGAAAATAAGGAGTCTGGAGAGCAGAAAGATGGCTCTGTCTGAAGTGAATACCCTGCTTACCTTTCTCTGTTCACATGCTATGGTATCAGTAATGTGGTGGTGATCTTTCTTGCATGATTTGCTGCTTACGGTACTCATCTCTAGGAAAAAATGGCTTTCTGAGGTTGGGCTCCAAGGGTTACACTGAGTGGGAAAACCTCTTCCATGGAGGGATCTGATGGAGGTAGGCAGTGAGAAAGATGAAGACAACCAAAGCAGACGTTTGGTTGGCTATATGTAGGATGAGAGTGAACAGGGCAGAAGGAAATGCTATGAGGGTGGAAGCTCCTTTTTACCTACCTAAGGGCTTCTCATAGGAGCTTAGTGTTTGGAGCATCAGTAATGGAGATTACCTCAGTTCTTGTGCTAAAAATTACACAATGATACTTATGTGTATCAAGGGGGGCTTTTATCATAGACTTACCACAGTTGCCCATTTTTGAGTGTTAGATTTGATCTTAAATCTTGGTGTTCCTGAGATAACATGAGAGAGAAGAGTAGAACATAAAGCAGTGCTGCCCTAATCTACAGAAAGCCCAAAGCAAAGAACTTGGGAGATACCACATGCTTTTATTATCTCAGAAGGAGCTTTGTGGGATGTATAATTCTTCAGCTATAGAATTTGTTGCTGTGATGTAAAAAATATTACCTCTGTTTCTTGTCCATTTGGGACTATTGTGCATCTGTGACTTGAATTTTGACTTTCTTACACGGATATTGACAAACTCCTTGCAGAGTTTCAGGCAGCAAGGATGCAGAACAACTGTGTTCTAACTCACAAATGGTATAACGATGGGAACTTGCAATACGGACTGCCCATGTCTTCTGGTAGATCAATATGGTTATAGCCAGTGTCAGGTCTTCTCTCCGGGATTCAAGTTCCCTTTGTAGTAATTTTCCTACTTATTCTTAAGAAATGCCAGGACAGACAGTGACCAAGGAGGCCTAACCAAGTCAGGACCAGAAGAATTGAGGAGTAGTACTCAGATGTTTGCTGGGGGAGATATTGCTGTTAATAAACATGTTTCAAAAAATCTCATTGCATGATAATACTTTTCCTTCTGCCATTAGAATGTATGCAGGGAGTAGAACAACAGCAAACTAAATGATAATTGAGAAAATTAATCCTAGCGTGCTTGCGGGTTTATGAGCGTAAACAAATGCTGTTGAAAACTTTAACTTAAACTAATCCTGAACTTGTGGATAGCCTACACTGAAAGTTGGCCTAAACATTATTCTTGGATTGCAGACTCAATTTGAATCTTAATACATGTTGCAGCTGTAAGTATTGTGACAAACACTTTCTTCTTTTTTCCTTTTAGGATGTAAATGCTTATTTATTACAACTACACTGACACGATTGAGAAATGTATGCTTATGTGGTGAAATAATTCTCTAAAATATCCCTGAAATACGTACTATTTCTGAAAGCCTTTTGAGAAATGTTGGCGGAAGAGAACTGAACTGTCAAGCTGTTTAATGAAACCACTAACAAAATCCTAACAATCTACTTCACATTGAAGTGGAAAAAATGTCTAGTAGGAGCAACTTTCACTTCAGTGAGGTGAAAGTGCACTATGAAAACTGTATGCCTTTGCTGCATTTGGGATTTGTTCAGTTACTAGGTAAAGTCATTTAAATGCTACAGTGTTTTACTGCAACATTGTATAAAAGAAGACTAATTGTGCTGTGGTGAAGACAAGATGACAGAAGCAGTTACAAGGAACCAGCAAGACCAATCAGCGTTACAAGCTTTTAAATCTTTCTTTCATAAGAGAACTCAAAGATGCACAACTATTTTTCAATTATGTTAAAAAAGTTGGAAATATTCAATTACTATTATGTTTTAATCAAAACTATTAAAGACAGTTTTTGTTTGCACTATTGAGAAACTATACAGCAAAGATGCCTTAATTACTAGTGTTTCAAAAAGCCGATGTATTAAGATGCAAGTAGCTATAATGTTCACAGATTAAGAAGTGATAAACTGCTACAAAATCAGGGTTTCACTTTGTATGGAGTTGTTTATGAAACGTTGCGCACTTACAAAAAATCATGTATGAGAACTAGTATAAAAAATACCTGAACTTAAGCTTCGATAAACAGTTATTGCAAATGTCAGCAGAATGGTGAGTTTGTCTAAAAAAAGGTTTTTATATGTATGTGGATTTCTAACACAGTAATCTTCAGTTCTGTATCATTTAAACTACATACAAATAAGTAAATATATTAAATGTATCTACTGTTTTTTCTTAAGTTCATAAAAACAATTTATAGAACAATCCCTTCCATACTACTTTTTATCATAGCTATTTATATCTGTTTATGAAATGTTTACAGCCAGATGAGGCCATTTTGTTCAGTCTCACTCTTTATATACTACCTCCTTTAAGAAATTAACAAACAGTTTTTGCAAAATTAGTCATTTTGTCCTGATTAATGATGGAAAATTCACACTACCTTAAATCTAAATGAAACACAACAAAAGCATTGGAAATACAGCTGTAAACTTCTTTGTCATAAGCTATTTTAATTTAAAAGCTGTAGCTTAATAACTGTGAGGGAGTTTAGAGTTTATAGGTTTGCTATTGTCCTTTCTATTTTGTGATTAGAAAGAATGCTTTTTCCAGTTAAAATCTAGGAAGTACCAGCTGCTCACTCAAAACATAAATATGCATGCACAGCATGTATCACCAAATAACCTACTTCCTAAAAGAATTAAGTACTTATAAGGGTTATTTTCATGCCTCATGCTGAGCGTATGCACTTTTTTGTGGTGCTAGACAGGAGAAAGGTCTCTTGATCTCAAGCTTTTGCTTGCAACAGATGAAACTAATGAATTTTAAAATCATGTAGTGGTCAGCAGCTTTAGGCCTCCTGTTGCTTTGGTTTTGAATTTATTTTGCATATCATTATTAATCACTTCTGAAGGCTAACTAGAAATCTGTCATCAGAACTTGGAGCTTTTGATTATGTGAATATTCCTTAAACCACCAAAGGTTTTGCACTTCCCAGGGCAATCAGCTGAAGGAAAAAGCTTTTGGGACATCCCAAATCTGACAATTTTGTGGGACAATCTTTTGAGATATGAAGATAGCCCAATTCTCTTATCTTTGCAAGTGTGTTATATACCAGTAAAGGTATTTCACACTGTAAAGAGTTTGAGATAGAACTTTCTGCTTTACAATGTCATTGCTGTGATTTAAAGGAACTATGGTATAAAGATGTTCTTATATTACTTTACTATTCTGTGATGCATTTAAATATAAAAGAAATGTAAAGGTTAGCGTCACAATTTGGCTAGCAATTGCTGGAGCCCTTAGATTACCCTCAAGGAATATACTGCACAGGTGATGGAAACTCATAGATCTTTGCTTTGTCTATTAAAACTAAGGAAAAATTAACAAATTCATGGCCACATATTTGGATAATACAAGAAAGTAATCATTGTAACTGATTAAAATGAAATGTTCCAGAACCCAGCTTAACTATAGAAAAACTCATAGGCTTATAATGGATTCTGCATATGGCCATGGATTTATCTCCAAATTATAACTGAGGATGGCACTTTTGTACTAGAAGCAAGGTAAGGATGACTTGAGGATCTATTAATAAACATCTAATAAAATCATGCATTTTTTTTACTGCCAAAAGTTGTATTTCAACAGCACCAATAAGAATACATTATGAAAAATATTGTCATTTGTGTCTGTGCCTTATTTTAAATGACTTTTTTTACTGTTTTAAGGCAGCTACTAGACTATAAGAACAGGATTCTGACATTGATATGAACAGAATTTTGAACACTCCATGTTATCAAATGATTTTTTTTTGTGATTTTAAAGAATTTAAACTGTTCAATTTGAAATTCAGGCTCAACTCATGTGCTGCTTCTCATAACAGGCTAGGAATCAATTTTGCCATAATTGAATGTATTATGTATGATGTCTGCTCAAAGGTGATACAAGTAAAAGAAGAAAATCTTAATAGTTGTATAACTCTGAATTCCATGTATTCGTCTCACTGAATCTAAGAATCATTTTAAGAGCTTAAAACAATTTGTATGTAAATGCTCATCTTTGTTACTGTCTGCAGTGATCACTTCTGAAAAATCCTGTTCCTAGGATGTACCAAAATATTGGGGTAGAATTTTCCCATTTGTCCTCGTTGCCAGCAAAGTAGGTAACTGTGAAGCACTTCAATGTTCATGAAGGGTTCTTGGGAAGAAGGTGTTCCTTACCTCTTGATATGTTAGACCTTCTTCACACCCTTCTTTCATATACAAATTACTAATGAGAAAATTAAATATGTTCTTGTCATGCATAACCATATTCGTACTTGAGAATGGACACCTATACAGAGCTGTTCCTCATGCTACATTACTTGATACAAAGTTCCTGTCTTTGAAAAACAGTTATCAAGTCTTAGAATGTCTTTCACTCCAGTGTTCTCTGAGAATGCTTGAGGTTATTTTGTTAGACTTATTTGAAGTGCAAACTAGGCTTTGCCCATCCCCTAAACTGAAGTTAAAGAAGCCCTCTGGCAAGTTGCCTCTTTCTGTAGCTCTAAAAGAACAAATAAGCTGTTAATGTAAGAAGCTGTTAATGTAAGAATAATGTAAGAATGTTGTTTAGGTATTGGTGATACCTGTTGAAGAGTGGAGACTTAAAAGGCTATACCATTAATTAGCTGGGTACAAAGAAGCTAGCATGCCCTAATGATTACGTATAACTCTGTTTAGGAGTTAGGCCTCTTTCTTAGTAAAGACTACTCTAGCTGCACTCGTTAGTGGAGTTGTATATCACAGGCAGGTATTACAGTTCCAGGCTCCTTAATAGATTTTTACAAATTGTTACTGATAGTTTTTTTTTTTTTAAAAAAAGCTCTTACAGGGCTGATGCTAATTTTATCTTCAGGAGGGAGTCACAATTAAATTGATCTTTCCCTTCATGTAGGCTGCTTTACTGTTTTTTAGAGACTGCAGTATTACCAGTTAGGGAGCAGGAACAATGGGAGGACAAGAAAAATATTTGTGCCCTAAAATTTAGTGACATCAGTCCCATTGCTTTATCTCAGTATCCTAAAGTAACCTGTATTTTTTTTTCTGGTAATCTGAAGTGGGCGAGTTTGGAGTTACAGGTCTTGAAGACTGATGAGTTTTGAAGACTGATGCTACAATGTTGGGTAGTGGGGGGGTTTTCTGGAGGGGTGGATGTTCTGTATGCGGTAAACAAACTTCTGAATTTCATTTCAAAGGGAAAGCAACTGAGAGCTAATTCATCTTCTCAGATCTTCCATTATAATAGAAAACTGGATGTCTGTCTTACTGTGGAGATTTGCAGCTATATTTTGTGCTCAGTTTTCTGGTACAAAGGGAAATAATGACTGTTTTGGAAAAAAAAAAAAAAACACCCAACAACTGAAGTTGAGCAGTTGATAGTCAGCTGCAAATTACACTACCAGTGTGAAGTTAGAATAACTGATGTGCAATGCAGAGTCTTTACTTTATGAAAGCAACTGGCTCTTATGTTAAGCAACTTTGAACTGATGCTACATGTGGAGGGTTTTTTTTTTTTTTTGGAAGGAGTTTTTAATTGACTTAAGTCAGGCAGCATTGAGTTTAATTTCTGTCTTCAGTCTACCTTCCTATACAGTAATAATTCAACACTACAGCTAATGATTCACTGAGAGAATAATTGGGCATGCTTGTGTTGTTAGTGCGTATGTTTATACCTCTTCTTAAACAATTTAAAGTTCATTTGAATGTTAGTTTTGTAGCTAGTTCTTTGGAAAGAATGAGACTAAATGCAAATGTTTGTTTTCTTTCTTCCATGCATTCATTCTTCTTCAGCACTTAATAGTGGTTTTTCTTCCTCTTACAGTCTAAACGTAGTAAGAATTGTTATTGTTATAGAAGTTGAAAGAGTAAAACTTCAGAGAAAACACAGGACTATTTCAGACAATTTGGAAGCCATTGCAAAAAGTCCCCCTCCGTACTACATGTTCATGACCACATGCCTCATGAGTTTGAACCTGGATGAAAGAATAAACTCTAAATAAACACAGCCACAGTATAAAAAATACACCGAGTACTATGCTAGTCTGTGATACCAACTTGCTATATGGGGGGCGGGAGTACAGCAGTGTCCCTCTACTAGATACACTAGAAATAATCACATCAGAATATTTTTGTTCCCATACTAGTGATGGTTTTGTATATCTTTTTATGCAGATTATAACAATACGATCAGCAACTACAAAATGAGATCCACTGCTTTCAAGTTCAATGTGGTTGGTGCATGTAGTTTCTGATTCACACAGGTCACTGTTTCAATTCAGTCACTTGGAGCCACTGTGGAGCAGATGAACAACTAACTTGCTCTTCTAGTTACGAACACCTACACTTCGCTGCATTGAAATACAAGGATTTCACGTTCACATCGTCTAACCATTTTGTTTTCTTAGCCCTTAACACTAAAGCCATTTAAATTATTTTGGGGAAGCGGCAGCCCCAAAAATGCACGATAAAAATGATTTTACAAATATGCTTGTGACTTGCTTTAAAATGATACTATATTTCTGTGAATTTGGGAAGGAAGCTGTTCTCTATTTGCATAGGTTTGAAAGAAACAAAATAATGGATTTTACTGAAATTGCAACTATTTTCTTGATAGTTTTCTAAGTGAGCAATATACGTATTGTGAAACAACTAAAACAACTCTAAATACCATGATAATGTTAAATTCCAAGACTTCTGTTGTGGGTGTAAGTGCTGGAATAAATACGTGAGACCTAGCGCCATATTTGAAACTGTTTACCAGTCACTTGATCTCTTGTAATTTAGGTTGATGGTTCTTGTTGTACTTAATCTGCTTCATTTTCAAAAAGTATGAATTATATTTGGATCTTACAGTAGCCACTTTCACTCATTTCAAACATTTCATGGATTGAAAGACATAGTCAAATAGTACAATAAATATTCCAAATTCAGAAAAATAGCCAGTCTTCTGTGTTTTGTGATAACTGGCTTTCATCACATCTCTTATTTTAAGCAGGCATGACCTCTCTGCATATGACAAATTTGTTTTCAAAATATTTTCTGTAAGAGTTAAACCACTTTTAGAGAAGACTGTTTCAAAAGAGGAGAACCACTTCAAAACGCTTGTGACTGTTTAAATAAGGTGCAAAAATTTCTTCATTAAAGAAACGTGTCTGTGATAGTTGAAGAATCGGCAGATCTGAGGATCCAGGAAGTCCTTCCAGTTCTCTGTGCCTGATTCCATAACAGTGAGGCAGTATAAGCAGAAAGGAAGATTAGAAACTTAATGCTGGCAGAGCAGTCACGTTTCCTCCCAGTCACGGTTTTTTCCACCTCTCTGACAAGCTGGAGCACATCTGCTTGGCTGAGTTCCAGACTCCACCTTGTCACTTACCCAAGTGAGAAAAATACCTTCCGACTTGGCGCTCCTGGTTTCCCAAGTGATGTCTCAAGACTTACAGCTCCTCAGTACAAAATAAATCATCAGCCTAGTGCCATCAGACTCTGCGAATATGGGGCCTATACGTCTAATGAATAGCACATGGCGGCTGTGAAAGCTACCACTAGGTTTACCTCTCATATTAACACCAGGAAGCAGAATGCAGGTCTGTGTTAATGTACTAAATGGCTATTTTTGCTATCAATTAGTTATCTTTTTAACCTAAACATTGCATAGGAAGCATTAATTTAAAAAATGCCCTGTTGTGAACTTTTACAACTGGCAGGCTGGTAACTAGTTGGGGGAAAAAATCATGCTGCTTGGAAGCGTTTGGTGGTTTTTTGTTTTGTTTTCCTTTCTTCTTCTTGCTCCCCTCTAGCACAGATATCACTCAATTCATTGATGTCTCCTTGAATTCTCATTTTTGCAGACTTACGTCTTTTAGGCTTGTTTTCTGACCCTACAGAAAAATTATCAGAGAGCTGGGCAGAGTGAGGGCATGTTTGGTAGTCTTGCTCATGCTATGCTTTGTAAGCACATGTATGGACTCATTACTGGGCAGAAGTGTATCTTTTATGTTTCCTTCTGCAGTGCATTTATGCTTCTTTTGGTGGCAGGTTTCCCTTAACAGCTGCAAAGGGATTCTTTCCATATTATAACTAACTCTTGATTCAAAGACCAGTATTGCTTCCCAGCTGAACAGAGAAACGTGTTAAATAACTAGAGGTCTAGGGTTATTGGTTTTCTGCAAAGAGACCTTGTTTTTGGAACTCGGACATATATCTAGAACACTTGTCTCCAGCATCGAGTAGTGCTGTGGCCAGGTGACAATAAACACTGCCACCTTTTTGTTTTCCACCAAAAAAACAGGGCATAAGAATGCCTCTGAATGTGCATTCTCTCAAGTTACAGATATTTAGGATTAGTGCACTGTATGTTAGCAGTCTACTTTCTGGACTGTCTGAATATTTGGTGGATGACCTCAGCCACCTCATTCCAAAGCACTGTAAATAGGAGAACGCCCTTGGAGCTGTCTTTCAGAACTGGCAGCTTGCTAGCATCAGCCTGTACCCTGGAGATTAACAGGGAGTACTTCTGCATTTCTGTGTAGGGGCTTTGTATGACGTACCTACTCCTTATCCTTTGGTCAGCCTTTCTGATACATACTTTCTCATTTAAGTCTTCTGTAAGCTCTGGAAACGAGAAGGGAACCTCTGGTGATTTACTTAGCCTAGTTTGGATGAAACAGTTTTAATAGCAAGGATTATTCTGCTTACGTGAAAGAAACCATAGACTCTTCTGTCTGTTCTTCCATAAGCTCACCAAATCTTAACCCCAGTCTTAATAGGCTCCCATACTTAGAAGTCTGTTCATTCACAGTTCATTATATCCTTATTAACATTTTTTTCTGACAAAATGGATCAGTCTGTGATTCCTTTGTAATACTGGATTACCATTACCTTAGGCTATTTTCATACCTTATAAATCAGGTTCTCTGCATTAGCTCTGAGGTATATTTAAGTTAGTGCTGCCCAGGCTGTTTTTTGGTGTTCACCATAACTGTCAGATGTATCAGGAATTTACTTGAAGTTGCCTTTTTGTCAGGAACCATATTCAGAACTTGAACTGATTCTAATGGTCTGAAAGACTATCTTACCATGTGTTTAGGAGCGTTATTTCCTAATGCAGTTTTCTATGAAAGTATTGCTTGTGGTGGCAGTATGGGCAAAATTGAATTTTATCATCTCAACAATGAGAGACTTGAGTGGGAGAGAGAACAAGTAACTTGGGTCAGATGGTTTCAGTAAGTTCTGCTTTTTGCTTCTGCATCCAGAGGTGAGACAGAAGGAATGCAAGTAGTAATTATTACTGCTGGGACTATTTGACCCCAGCTCCAACCTCAGCTGCTGGCTCACATATATCTTTTTTTTTGCCTTCATTAGCATCAATAACAGTCAATCATTCCAGAGTTCTGACACATGTAAAAGGCCTGTAGCACTACTGCGTAGTTTGCTGCTTCATTTAAGTTTCAAGCATGCCATCATCTCTAGGAAAGCAGGACGCCCTTTTGATGAACGCTCAATAGTATTCCTTCCTAACAGAACTTCCCTTTAGAAGATGTTCCAAATTCATATCTAAAGATGCATCCATCATTCAGTTACAAAAGTACCTGTTTTTCTTCCCTATGCGCGCCCCTTTTAGGCTGAGAAGCTAGCGCGTGCTTTGGATGACAGGAGAATTTTGTCTTTTTAAATGCACAGGCTCGTCATATAGAATGTCCAACCAGTTAACCAGCTGTGTTAAGACCTGCAATTGGACCTGAGCTTAAGCTTGTTCATCAGGCACTATGCTATCGTACAGCGTAAAGGATGCCATGTATAGTAAGATCATCCTGCATACATTTCCCGAGATAATGGTGAGACCCATATTCCGGTTGTGATTATGTGGAAAGGACATAACCTTTCTTTTTCCTTCAACTATTAGTTATTTACCAGTAACCAGTTCTTCAAGGTGGATAGTCTAGTCATACACTTGACTCCAAATTGTGTCTTTCCTTTCCTCTCAGAGACTTTTTCAGGAGTTCGGATTTTGGATATAGCATGCTCTGCCTTTAACTACTGCCCAGTTAGGGTTTTGAGGGCAGGCACAAAGGTGCTCTACAGATACTAGTGAGAAAAGAAGCAACTCAAATACTTGTGATACAAGGACTCTGCTACGAACGGTTACATAATCAAACTACAAGTTTCTAGAACCTGTCTTTTCCATCATTCTCTATTTTGGGTCTAGTAGCATATTTTACATGTTTATAAAAAATGTTTGATATACAGAAATGTGAATTGATAAACACAGTTTATTTACTATTTAGTTGATACCCTCAAATTTGAATTGGCTAGAGAGAGTGAGTTTCTGTTACTAAATTGTGCAAAGACA